CGAATGAAGGACATGATGGTACAGTACTAGCATAGCTCTCAACGAATGTTTAATATAAAGAAAATACATTGTGTAATTTTTCCGACGGGATTCGAACCTGCGACCTCTCACAGGCAAGGCCAGCATCATAACCATTTCATCACAGATGAATGGTTGAACATATATTCAACGTCAGTTACATTGCATTACACAATTGGCGCGCCTCGAGAGGGCGTTAAACCAGATAAATATGTACGGCTGGAAGTATAAATCAAGGTAGCCGCCAACACTGTTCCTATTTTATATTTTATTACACAATGTATTTTATGACAACATTCGTTGAGAGCTATAACATTGTTCTTGAAAGGGACGTTTCAAAGTATTGTCTTCTTCTGTGTTTATTTATGAGAATAAATTTTATAAAACTAATACATTTTAATGTTAAGTTGCATTATACAAAAGTCACTCGGAGGATGACCAGACAGAAGACGGTTCAGAAAATATAAAAGAAAATAGTCAACTTAACGTTCCACACGTCGTTTGAAACTGTTGTCTTGTCATCTATACAAAAGTGCATGCTCTATTTTTTTTTACCGCATCCTGAAAATGTCTGCATATTCACCTCAGTGTTTTCTCTTCTGATGTAGTGGTTAAATTGTTTGTAAATATAGGCTGTATGTACAATGCCTTTTCTTCTTATTAGGTAGGACTATTTAAATGGTTTTTACTTTCATACTTTTAAAATTGTACATCTTTATATTTGATTAATTAACCTTTTTATATGTATATAATGAAAAGCAACTTTAATTCTTAATATGCAAATGTTTCGTACACCATGAAGGCAACTGTTTCATGCAGCTTGGAAAATTATTTAAGATATACAGTTTGAGATATAATAAGAAACATTTTAAAAAGTAAATTTGAATTACGTTGTAGAATAAGCTAATATTTAGTTTTTAATTGAAAATCAAAATGAAATTCTTTTGCATAGACCCCTAAATTGGCTGGTAAGCAATAAAATGAACTTTATCTTTTGTGGGTTTTTAGGTTTTCCTATTTTATGACAGGCGGTATAACGTTAAATTTTGGCTATGTATCTCATAATTTCGGTTTCGTTTGCCTTATTTAATGTCCCGATGATTTAATTTTATTAAAGTATACTTAAACTCTCATAGATGTTCTAACTGATGATTCGACGAGACATATTTACTCTATACGTTATACAACGCCTTCCTTAAAATTTAGAAAACACACCTTCACATCGCATTTAAACCAGAGAAGACTGAATGTTATTTCTTTCCCGTAACTTCCCACTTCTGAAATGTTCTTCACGGCACTCATGTAGGCCTATCTATTGAAATATCCATGTCAATAATTTTCGATACAAGGCTAAAAAGTCAGATTTCTTTTATTTGTCATATAGGCCTATACATACGTGATGTTTCTATCTGACTTTTTTAGTAATATAGTCACAGACAAGACAAATATATTTTACACTAATAATCGAATATACTAGTAATCGCATTGTATTTTACAAAAAGACAAAAGATTTACTGTACAAAAATTAATCATGATAGCTTACCTCCAATAATCAGTTGAGAGTAAATATATTAAATTGTACATAATTTATAATGTTAAACATAAACATACAGGCATCACCATAATAAAAACGAGAAAGGCAAACGAAACCGAAGATTACATGCCAGCTAGGAGTGATGCTGTCCCGTCTGTCATAAAATCTATATATATATATATCGTGCATAATTTGAAGCGTTTGCACAATTTGCAAAATGCGCAAGCTTTTACCTGTATAATTTGCAAACTGTGCAAGGATTTCTTTGCACAATTTGAAAACTGTGCAAGATTCTGCACAGTTTGCACACTGTGCAAGGAGATTATTGCACAGTTTTAAAATGCGCGGACAATTTGCAAACTGTCCATGGGTAGCTCATGAACATTTTAATCTATTTGCACATTTTGATACTAATCACTCTAGGCCTAATTTTTTTTTCTGTTTGTGGCGTGACGTTGAATAAAAACATTGTCACATGCAAGCCAGGTATGCATGGCCATCGTGTGTGGTTGGGTGGGGAACGATGGTGTGCCAGTGAGGGTTGGGAGGGGGTGTGTAGAGGCTGTTTTTTTTAGCTTGTGTATTTTTCATATAAATACATCGTAGGTCCGTATTAATAACATAATAATTTGACTTTCTAAAGTGGGCCTACATTACTTACCGGTATTCTTGTAAATGTCAACTTATCAACGGACCATTAATACAGTATAGGCCTAATATTTAATAATGTAGGCCTAAGTAATACATTTGTATAGCATTACTCTTGTTGGAAAAAATTATATTTACTCTTGTTGTGTAGGCCTATGTAGCCTACGTGCATAGAAACGAAAATGAGAAGATGTCATTGAATGATGATTTTTATTTCATAAAAAACCACGTTCATGAATCTTTTAAATTGAATATTGTTATAAAATAAGTCCTCTATATAAAGTTTGCCTACATACTTTGTCTTGCGAGGTATATTTCGTTAGTTGCCAAATAAAAGCTTGAAAGCTGGGTTTCAATATAGAGTACTTGTATAGTATATTTACTCTTGTTATGTGTAGGCCTATGTAGCCTACATGTATAGAAACGAAAATGAGAAGAAGTTGTCATTGAATGATGATTTTTATTTCATAAAAAGAAAAACCATATTCAGGAATCTTATCTTGTAAATTGAAAGTGTTATAAAATAAGTCCTATATAATTTGCCTACATACTTTGTTTTGCGAGGTTTATTTCGTTAGTTGCCAAATAAAAGCCTGAAAAATGGGTTTCAATATACAGTACTTGTAACAGGCCTAGACCAGATGAATCTGTAAAAAACTAATTCCTATTAGACCTAGGCCTATTCATCATATTAGTTTTTTTAGTAGTGGTATATCTTTAATACATTCAATAATTACCGTCCGTGGCGTGTGTCTCACATACAACATACAACATGGATGGGCTATCTTTTATCATTGCAAATTTTCCGATGGATTAAAACATCGGAATTGTGTATATCTCCCAAAAATAATTTAATAATAAGTTAATATCAATATCAGTTCATAAATATAAATGTCACATTTTACCACAGATGATGAAAGAATCCTTGCACAGTTTGCATAGGCCTACCTCGCGCACAGTTTGAAACGACTTCGAAACGTCAGCAACTCAAATTGAGCAAAAGGAACAAAATACGCACTATATATGTCTATATATATATATATATATATATATATATAAAATAACACTGCAGTTGTTAACATAAACGCCGGACACTTTGACATAATTTGAGACATGTACATTTATTCAACGAAATTTTCGGCAGCACCTGCTGCCTTCGTCAGCGTAAGAGTGTCTGAAGGAAGAGATGGTAATTTGGCTGTATTAAC